GCAAGGGATGATGTGAATCATAGTCCATCAGCACCTTGGAGGGCCACAGGGTTCCCCCTGCCCTACAGCCCCATTTGTCCTGAAATGACCCCCACGACAACCGATACCAGGTCTATTCGTTTCTAGAGCACCACAGAGAAGTTCCATCTCTTAACACCCTGATTTCGCTTCCACCTCCACATCCAGGCTCAAGCCGACTACCCTCGCTTCCAGGACCTCATCCACATATTCCCGGATCACTCTGTGCTTCCCTCTTCCTCTCAGACTCAACTCTGCCCCATGCCAATAAACAGAGTGGCACCCTCTATAAACCAACACCCATCGCAATAAAAGCAGCGATCTATAAGAATCCTTTGGACCCCACCTATCCCAGGTCAGACTTGGCCCCATTGTGACCCCATTAGATCCTTCTCCAAGATCCCACAAAAACCCCACAAAAAACAAGACACCAGTTACTCAGAAGGACTGCAATTCTTCCTAAGAGGAAGGTCTGCCTTTCGTTCGACCACCAATCCATATCTCCATCCATTGAGAAGGGGCCCTGTGCTTCAAGAGCAGAGACATGAATCCCACACCACCCTTGAGGAAAAAAAAGAAAGATATTCAGTGTCATTCCTAATAAGGGCAAACGCCAGCTTCCCTTTGATGCACTTCATCCTCCTCTGTGAAGTACCCAAGGAGATCACCCCTTGGGGGTGTTTTACAACATGCATCTGCCTTCTGAACCCCACATTCTTGCACCCACAAACCCCCTTTATTCCACCCACCCAAGCCACAGGCAACACCTATGGCCCCGTAAAATCCACCTTCCACCTTGACACTGCCCTAAAAGGAGCCATCCTGTCCCTTTGCTGGATCTGTAACGCCCCCTGAGACCAACATGCACAAAGGCAGCACCCCAGATCTCGGCGATACGCCTCCATCACACACACAGACACGTTAGCCCCCTTCTGAACTCTGGCACAGCTCCAAGAGAAACCACACACGACCCTTCAACGGATTTGCTCGCATACCCTCCCCATGACGAGGGGGGCTCTGCCTCTTTCATGAGACCCGTCTCTCAGGCACTCCCCCTTTTTCTGAACCCCAATATTCAGCAAAGCCCTTGACATGGCTGAAGAAATGACGGCCTTCACCCCCACCCTGCCGAAATGTCACCCCCAAAATCGGCAGTTTGCCATCCATTAGGAATTCTCCCAGTGGACCCCAATATCCAATGGAGCACCTCCTAATCCGGCCTTCATCTCTCATCCATGATGGCATCAAAGGTCCAGCGACAGAGGAATAATCCTGACACCTCTCCCCGTTTTGCAGGGGACCAGTCCTTCTGAACCCCAAAAACAAAGAGCACCCCCTAAAAAGGGTGTCAACCCTGGATCCAACATCATCTTCAGCCGGACTCCTCACGCTTCCTAGGAGACGTGTCTCCATCAATGCCCTTCTGAACCCCAACATTGAAGAGGCTACTCCCCCCAAAATAATT